AGTCAGCCGACGGAGTAGGATTATCTGTAAACAACCGACGATCAGCTCGGGCTACCAGCTTCAGGTACCCAGTCGTCCAATAAGGCTGATAGCAGTAATGGTGTAGGAATAAATCAACACTTGGAGCGATCCTCAGTTCCTGGCATCGGATTATAAAGCCAGTAAGAATGCGGTAGGTGCTGGGTACGAACTGAGCGGGAAGTACGGAGACCCGACGCAGGAACTCCACAAAAAATGTATGAAGAGGGAAGCGAAGCCCGGTAATAAATGCATCAAGATGCACTAGCACATGCCCCGGTCGGTGCCTCATCGGATGCCTGATAAATCCAGCGTAAAATTCTCTAGGCGGAGGCAATAGTTGGCCAAGTTGCCGTTCGGCATCTTCAGGAATACGTTGTTTCTGTTTGCGAATACGGTTGAAGTGCAGGACAATGCGGGGTGGCCGATCGAGCATTCCCTTTTTATAGATCTGTACATTGTCCCCTGAAAGGCATCCGTCATCACAAGGCTGTTCGGTATCTTTTCCTATGAGAGGATTAGTGGAATTAGGTACTTGTGAAGACGAGCCTTCGGCCTTGTTCACATCAGAAATTTTTCCCACACGAATCAGCGGCATTTCCTCAGATTCTGAGCTAGAAGGAAAATACATAAAACCACTTGAGGAATCCTTAGAATTCTAGAGAGAGAAAGCTTAGAGATACGCGAGAGAAAAACTAAGGAAGCAACAGAAGAAATGGAAGAGAAGCACCTCTACTAATAAGCAAAGATGCCGCCCAAAACCCTAACCCATGAATGACACGTGGTGAAATACGGTTGTACGAAATTATGGTACATTTATGATATTTTAGCACGTTCCCCGAACGTATGAATGGGCAATTCATGAAGCGTACTGAGAGACATCCCGAACCAAGGTCGGCATAAACCATAAATTTGAAGCAAATATCCTTGGAGACCCGAACCAACAGATAATTGAAGAACAACAGATAAAGATCAACGGGATGGGGAAAATTCGGGATTCGGACAAAATCGAAAGATAAGGGCAACAAGATAAACCGAACATGATTTCTATTTACAATTATGTGGGATAGATGAGGATATCATAAACAACAGATTCACTAAACGACTAAGTCCTACAAAATTATCTGAAGCCCGAATGGCTATCGATACAAAAGGAAGGCCAAATCATGGTAAATTGTCGGAATCATCTGAGGCCAGAAAAAACTGCTAAGTCCTAAAAAATGTATCGAATCCCGAATGGTAAGCAATAAATCAAGGAAGGCAATATGAAAAGCTTTGTACAAAAAAGATGTGTATTCATCGGCTCTATCGGCCGGAAAATACAATAATGGATTTCAAAAAAGGAGAAGGGGAAAGGGATTACAATTGATAAGAAACAAAATTCTAAATCTACTAGCCCTCCCTAGTGTCTTCTTCATCACTTTCCTCCTCGTCTGAATCAGTGGGGGGATCAGGCTCTCTCCTCGCTTCACGATCAGCAGCCCGTTGCAAGTCCCGTTGATATTTTTCATATTGGGCTTCGACGATGGGTGCCTGGGGAAGATCAGACAGCTCGACCGTCCTCCCTAGCATTTCTTGCAGTTTAGCAACAAAGGGGGCCATGATATGCGAGCAGTTTGACCCCCTCACTGCGTCCGGCATCACCCGTGGAGAATCGTTCGAGATAAGCACCGAAGGTGGCCGGGAGTTCCTGTTGTGCATAATCTTTCTTCAGGGCACCAAACTCCTCAGACCCTTTGAATGCTTCCCGGACGGCGGACAGATCAACCTTCACCTCAGCTGGGCCGTCCAGGATACGGGGATCGCTCTCTTCGAACTTCACCAAAGCAGCTTCAGCAGCATGAACTTTGGCTTGGAAGGCCACGAGCTGAACCCTGAGTTCACCAAGCTCTGACTCAAGGCGTTTTTTCACCTCCGCAGAGGCCTTCCGTTCGGTCTCCAGAGCGGTAAAGGCAGCAGCCGCATTCTGCTCCGTAGAAGTCTGAGCGACGATCAGGTCCCGCTCTTTAGCCAATCGAGCCTCTTTCATTTGCAAACTGTAAAGCCCAACTTGCAGAATGTCGTTCGAGAAATGAGGTGGTGTGAAACGGAATTTAAACTATGAGAAAAATATAGGGAAAAAGTAAAATACCTTCAGGGCTGCTAAGACCAAGCATTCCTCAAATTGCTCGACCGACAGCTTGGGAACAGTGAAATTGTTGAAAAAAGCGGAGCTAGACCAAATATGGCTTGCCGAACATCCACCTTTCTCTACAACTTCATGAACCGGATCTGCCAGTGAGATCCGGTCGACCTGGCCAGATAGATGGACGGTAGGCATATCACCCGCACCCTGACCAGTCTCCTGAGCAGCCTGGAAGTGCTCAGGGAATTGATGCATATGATCAGAACCGAACCGATCGTCGACCAACATGGCATCAAATTGGTCCTGATGGACCTGTTGCAGTGGCTGTGACTCTGGAACGGGTTGAGAAGATTCAGCATCCTGAGCGGTAATAGTGGAAGGAGTGGGTTGAGGTTCTTCCTGGCTTTCTTCCGTTTGCCGACCCCACCAGCTACAAGAACTCTACTATTGTCCATAGGTGCGTCTGGATTGAGAGCTAAAAAATAACAAAGGAAAATGTTAGTACCGAGCGGACCTTAGCACGTGGGAAACAAAAAAGAAGAGAACGTTTCTCGCACGAGAAGGACCGCCCAGACCATGGCACTTGATTTCTGAAAACAAGTAAACCCAAGAGAACGGGCAGTACCTATCCTGACTTCGATTAGCCGATCGAGAGTCAGGTAACTCATGATATCTACGCATTTGTCTTTCTCCATAGCAAGCACATCCTTGTAAATTTCCTCAGTAAGGACTGGATCAGGAGATTTGCGGGGGAAGGCATTCCATTTGCGGGAATCAGGCCGTCCGAGATAGACACAAAGAAGAACCGATCTTTCCACCCCTTGTTTGAAATCGGATTGCCCTTAAACACGATATGTCCCGTTCGGGCACTAGTGGCCAAATAGCCGTGTGTTTGTTGATGGGCTACCTTAAAAAATTGGTGAAATAGATCTAGGGTCGGCCGGGCACCGACATCTTTACAACAGCAAATAAAGCCCGCCATTGCCCGGTAGGAGTTCAACATGATTTGGGCCGGTACAATTTCGTATAAATTAAAAAATGAAACGAAAAAAGAATGTAACGGAAACCTAAGCCCGACCCTAATTGAATCAAAATGGACTACAACCATCCCAGGGGTATGGCGCATTGGGTGAAGCCCAACTCGCAATCGGAAGTTCACTGGATCTGGGATTAGGGCCGGAATTTCGGTCCTATTATGGGAGGTCAGTTTTTGCCGCCTCTCCCTAATCAATTTTAGGTCAAGCGTGTGACGGGGGAAATCGTTGGGACGTCCAGCCGCCATGGAAGTCAGCTCATCTTCAGACTTGGTGTCATCGGAATCTTCACTGAAGGAAGAAGAGCTGCCGGAGGAATCATCCGTCTCCGCCCTAATCTCCGCCATCGCCACCTTGGAGCCCTCATCAAAAGGGACGGTGATAATCTCCACATCACGGTCCTCCCTTTGGGAAGCCATTTCCGAATCGGAACACCGTTGAGAATTCATAACGATCGAACCAAAGGAGAGAAAGATTCAAAGGAAGGAGAAGTACCTGGGCACGAAAAACTTGAAAGATTTGAGAAGAAGAGGCAGAGTAAAAGCACGAATAAGATTGAAAATTCGAAACCCGGATTTGAGAAGTTAAAGGCTAATTTATAGCCTTAAAACCACCGTATCGAGGACCAATCAGGAAGCGACACGTCACTAGAACCATTTAAGCTAAACGCGTGTCTAATGAAAAGGCAAACGACAGTAATCATGACAATTATAGGGAAAAGCAAGCGATAGTCGCCAAATCACAGTATGGGGAAATGACCACTTCTGTACCCCGATCGCCATTCGGCAGTTGCAACATTGGTGTTTATACTTCCTAATGCACTCACTGTCATTCGAGACATCGGAAGTGGGGGACTTGTGTTGGGATATTGACTCGGAGGCCCAATACCCTAATTAAAATGGCCCAGGATATCCAGCCCAAACACCGAGTCCGCTACCCTATGATGAGTAGGCCCAATGAAGAATCCATACCGAACGAGGTTCGGTCCAAGTAGAGGCCGACCTAGAAAGCAGAAATACCGAACGGAGATCGGATCATACATCATACTTGGGCCAATTTGCCAGCGTCTTCCGCATGGTCCAGCATCATGTTCGAGCAACGGGCAACCAGCAAGTGGCCATGTGCAATTAATGCCAGATTGTGACATCAACAAGTGGAAGTATTGGTGATCAAGTCGGTGAAACAACAACCAATCAGCATAGAGCAGCCCATGCTCTCCAATAGTATAAATAGAAGGTTTAATATCATTGTAAGGGTTAACATTTTGATACTCAAGCTCTAGAATAACATTATTACTCTCGTTTCTTGTATTAAAAGCACAGTTCCGACGTACCGATCGGGAAGTTTCCTTGTAATCAAACAGGTTAATTAATACAAGTGGACTTTTGAGCATTCGTTGATTCATCTTTTATATTTTGTTATACACTTTGATTCTGATCCATTCATGATATATCCAAAGTTCGTGTTGGACTTTCGGATCTGCGGGACTTAACCTCAACAAGTGCATAGGACCTCTGCAAGTACCGGGGACAGCGCCCCACTCTTTATCTGTCAGATTGAGATTATAGTCTAATTTACATCCTCCTAAGGTATCGTTCGGTCGACGTTGTGGGGCCCTGTGGTGTGATTTTTTGTTTTATATTTTGATAATACTAAGGTCCAGAACAGCTCACAAAACGGCGCCGACTCATTCTGGAGGATTTAAAATTTTGAAATGCAAAAGCAGCGCAATCGAGCGAACAGTACGTAGCCACGTCAGCACGACCCCACCTCCAGAGTGGATGTTTTTACCCATTTATCGGGTCATTCACGAGTTCTTGCATCCGCACCAGCAGAAAGAAGCTTTCAACGACCCATCTCCCTCGATCTCTCACATCGTCGGCGATAGGGTTTCCGATTGTTCCTACTCCGCCGTCTGTATCTTCAGCGGTCCTTTCGTCTGCTTAATCGAGCATTCGAGCTCCCTCTTGCCCCTATTGCTTGATATCCGGTAATTATTGCTATGAGGAACTTCTTTTCCAACGCTTCGATTGCCGATTTGCTATCTTAGTATGAGTAGGTGGACTTGAGTTTGCTTCTCTTTTGGTAGTGAATCTTTTCTTACCCTGAACTGTACAAAGCTTGGATTTGAGTTGATCCGGTTAAGCTTTTTTAGGGTTTGTTCTTCAGATTTCCGAAGTGAAAGCGTATGAAGTTTGGGTGCTGGATGAGACTGAGTCTGTGTGGTGATGTGGGGGTAGCTTTTTTTCTGACTTGAATGCCAATGTTATAATTCGGATAAAAGTTAGGTTTTTTAGCTCCATGTCTGGATTCGTCTAGTTGAACTGAAATTCTGAATTTGAGCTCCTTGTTTGTTTTTCCGAAAACGAATTGAAGTTTTAAATTTAAGCTATATATATTCAGGTTTGGTATATTTCATTGAAGCCCACTGGTTACAATGGTATTGGGGTTTTATAAATTTATGTACTGCTTTGTTTCACCCTAGTGAAGGGGAGCCCTGATGCACAGTGTCTCCATGTGAACGAGAGGTCACAGTCAAGTCTTGGGAGCGGTCTCCTGTCAAAATTTGATAGGGGAAGGCGTGCCCTTAAACACACTTGTGGTGGGAGACTTCACCGGACCCTTGTGATAAGTATACTCCTTCAGAGTTCTTCATGATATCATTTAGGCTGTTGCTTGTTGTATATCTTAATCTAAATATGCCTGAGCAGAGAACTTAACCATATTTAGGTGGTTGTTTGTAAAATCTTGTAGAACTTCTCAACCTTATTAAGTATGCATCTGCATATGCTAGACTATTCACTCTATGTTTCATCTGCTGCAGTTCTTTGTATATCTTAATCTAGACATGCCTAAGCAGAGAAGAGACAGATCTTTGTCTTCTGATAGGACTAGAGCATATCCATACCCATGTAGTTCAAGCCGCTCAAAGCATTCATTGCCATTTGATCATCTGGAAAATGATAAACACTCGATAGAATGGGAAGAAGCAAGATGCCCTGTTTGCATGGAACACCCACACAATGCCATTCTCCTTTTGTGTTCATCTCATGAAAAAGGTTGCCGTCCTTATATGTGTGACACCAGCTACCGACATTCCAATTGTTTTGATCAGTTCAAGAAATCGTTCAGCGAGGCCACACCACCAACACCAAATCTGCAAGATGACGCTCCTTCCCCTCTGATATCATCAGATCAGGGTCAAAGTGAGGGTCCAATGGGCTTGCATGACGTCGTTTTTGAAAATCATGAAGAGAACAATATGGTATGCCCTCTTTGCAGAGGGCGAGTAAATGGGTGGGCAGTCAATGAGCCTGCCCGTGATTTCATGAATGCAAAACCAAGAAGCTGTTCTTGTGAGACTTGTGACTTCAACGGTACATACACAGACTTACGGAAGCACGCTAGGTCTTCCCACCCCCTGGTACGGCCCACAGAGGCAGACCCTGAAAGGGAGCGCAACTGGAGGAGGTTGGAACGACAGAGAGATTTGGGGGATTTGCTAAGCACACTGAATTCTTCACTTGGGGAGGAAGAGAGTGATGGAAGCAGCACCTTAACCTTTGACGACGGGGGATTGTTAACAGTTTTTCTTTTTGTTAGAATTCTTCAACCAAGGCCACGTTCTAGGAGTAGCAGCAGCTGGTATGGCTCATCAAGACCCAGAGGTCAAGTGACTTTTAGGAGGCGGCCTTCGAGGAGACTTTGGGGTGAGACCTTTGATGGTGAAACTGAGAGCAGAGGAGATGATGATAATGAAGATTCTGATGCGGGGACTGCTATAAGGAGGCATCAACCAACACCGGAAAGCTAGTCTTGTGTGCACACTTGGGGGCTTCCGCTGGTTTCATTGAACATTTAAGCCTCGGGTATATGCACATTTCAATTTATGGTCTCAATTGACCTTTTTTTTATCTCTCATTTTAAGAAATACTTGAACATATTATATTTTATATGTTCATATTTTACCTTTCTTATCCTGTTATGAAGTGATGGTACTAAGCAATTAAACCATACTAAATGAGGGCATTTTACGACCTAGGTAAAGTATGAAAACAATTAATTCACTTGGTCAATGAATTTTTACTCCAATGCATTTTTTAAACTTTGTGCAATAGTCAATGGCAGCAATTCACTTGCATCACTTGGAAACAGTACACTGTTCCTCCTGTGTCTACACACCCTCACCATTTTCTGGGGTCATCAGAACTTATATAATTGTTAGGAAAGGAAATGGCATTGAATTACAGGAGAGTTAACGAGGGAAATGTAGGGGAGATGGGAGAATTACAAATTTGTGGATAAACTCAATAAATCAATTTTGAATTCTTTTTTCAACTTCTACCTCTTTTGGCTTCTTTATTTATGCGCAGTATATAACTATTGTATAAGGCTTGGTCCAAGCCTTAGTCCTCTTTTGGGACTAAGGCTTGGATGTTGTTGTATATAACTATTGTATAAAGACTAATTATGGGCATTTGGGTTCTGTGTTTTTTTGGTTCAGTTTAAATTAGGTTTGGGGGGCGGATGATTAACAAATTTAAACCAAACTATGTTTGGTTTGGTTTTGTTTAGTTTAAGAGCTCGTTTCTGATTCGATAGTATTTAATTTGGTTTTATTTGGTGTTAATCTGGTTTTTATCCAGTTTTGAATTAATACTAACTTGTAAAAATGTTACCAAACTAAAACTGAGTTGAATATTGGTGGCATAAAAGAGCTAATTCAAATTATCAACTTCAAACAGTCAATCTACCAAACTAATGTCTACTGCAATTACTTAAATTCATATCAAGGCTGAAGGTTACTTGTATTGATTTTGTAGATTGCATTCATTTATATAGCGTGCAATTGGCACACATTGTAGTTTATATGATTACACACTCACATATATATGCTTGCATATGTACACATTTACGGATGTACCTATCTACACAAGTATTTATGTGTAGATCTAGAAAATGAGATTTTTTAATTACCATACTTCATATTCTAGTCAATGGTTATGCTTACGGAATTCCATTTCTGTAATTGCCATAACTTTTAAAGTCAGAATAACTACAAAAAAAATGATACCTTGTAGATGTCACTATGTAAGCCATTGATTAGAAAAATGAAGGGTGAACATTTAATGTATGAGATTGTGCTAATCATAAGAAGGTTCTCATATGAATCTCCTGCTATAAACTTTGGGGCATATAAAAGGTGTTTTTAATGTGAAAAATGAGAACCATTGTGGTGAATTATACTCGTATTATAGATCTGAGGGTTAAAAATATCCAATAGCAAATAAAAGAAAAAACAGTGAGAATTTCAAGTAAGTGTGCAACCCTGATGCTAAAGAGCAATCACATTTTAAAGGTGCAAGTGTGCAACATTTCTTTTTATTTGAATTTCATCATATAATTGCATGCATATGCTTATGTGTGTGGCTGTCTGCGTGTGCGTAAGTATATATTGAACCGCACGTGTACAAAAGTTAAAAAAATCCTGAACAATTTTAATTTTATTTTGCATATCTAGTGAAAACTGAACCCGAAATCATTTTCTTACCGTTTTCAGGGTTCCATACATAGAAGTGACCTTGGGGAAAGCCTAATATAGATTTCTTATCTAGTAGTGCTGCGACCTGAGGGGGTACCTGGAATTGCAAACTACAATCGGAGTGAGGCGGGAAAGGCAATTATTTCAGTTTGCATGTGTACATTTGTTCTTGTAATCCTTCTTTCAATTTGACGCCGTTGATGCTGGAATTTCTGTTCGAATCAATAAATGTGAAAGCAAGATCTTGTTTGCTTTCTAACACTATAGAGCTCTGTATCTTTTATGATTGTGATTTTCTATTAATTGCATTAACTTGCTTTGGTCCAACACTCGAACCTCTGAAATGCCTTAAAGTTGCGTTTAGTTAGATGTATATTCTCAAGTCTTGCTGATCAAAATGATGGGATACTTGTCACCGTCCAAATTAGTATCATTTTTTATTTGTTGAGGTCGAACTTTGGGATGACTGGATACGGTCTGGTTTTGTGGCCTTGGGACTTAGGTTAATTGATCACACGTCGAGCTGCCCCGCACTTGTGTGGAGCAAGTCCAAGTTCATTTTAAACAGTACTCCGTACAAAATGGGGGGGCTGGGGATCAACTGGGATTCTGGGAATGGTTGTTCTAATCCCATAATAATTATATTGGCATAAAACCAGGCTCCATTATGGGTGGACACGGTTTGATTTCGGTCACGAATCACTGATTCTGGAGGAGAAAATTTGGCACCCGGATCCGGGACGGCGGGAGTGCGGGACCTCTACATATGGTTCTGGGTCAGCCCTGGCCGGATTCGGTTTATTTTCTTAAAAATATTTTGATTAAAACAAGTTTTTATATTGAAAGTTTAAATGTATGCATTATATTGACATGATCCTAATCCTTAGAGTTTGTTAAATAAAATTTAAACCACAAATCTCTCACGATCCATCCTATCGGTTATATTTTAGGTATTATTTGAATTTTGAAATAAAATTGGAAAAACAATCAAGGATTCAAGGAGAGAGGTTTTTTCTCAAGAGCATTTCAAATACGAATAATCAAATGTACACACGTATTAAAAACTACGTCATTATTTATAAAAAAATGTCATATGAATTACAAAAACATATTGCATTTCAATAAAATCTGCCCACATATTTTCTTTATAGTTGTAAAGAAATCAAACATAACGTCGTTCTGTATTTAAATAATACTCCCTCCGTTCCGCAATGAAGTTCCCGCTTTCTTTTTTTGGCAGTCCCAGAAAGAAGTTCCCTTTTACGGCTAGCAATAATCCATGGATTCTCTTTGTCTGCAAGTTACCTTGAATAAGTTGCCTTTATTTGGATGGTTATTTTAATTAGTGGGAAGTTGACGTAAGTCTAGGAGAATGGGTTTAAGATAACATTAATCCCCTTGTAACAAAATTTAATACGGTAGTGAGCTTTAGGATTTTAATTGGTAGCTTCTCAACCCATGAATACTATCATCGATATCATACAGATAGCCATATCATGAATACTACATAATCTACCACCTATCTTTCAACAAATTGCATCTAGACTCAAGAGACGTCCTACGATCAGACTTTAGACGGCTACCTCTGACGAAGCAACACGAAACACTTACCACCAAACAAGCTAAACAGAGTTCTTATAGACCTTTAAGGTCATCATACTCTTCACCACTTCAATAGACTCATAAGAATCAAAGGATTCTCTCCGTCTCTGATCAGGCATATAAACGTTTACTCAAAACTCAGCAAAGCTTTTCCCTGAACATATGGGAGTTTTGAGACAGTTCCCTTTGATCATACTAATCCTATACCTAAAAGCACTGCACGGGAGAGAGAAAATTTTCCCGCCTACGCATTCTTCGCATAAAATCCTAAAATGTAATTTCACTTTCCACAAAAAAATATTATCATCATTATATATCTAAAAGCACTACACTAGGGAGAGAAAATTTTCCCGCCTAAACATTCTCCGTATAAAATCCTAAAATGTAATTTCACTTTCCTCAAAAAGTCATATACTTAAAAGAACTACACCGGAGAGAGAAAATTCTCCCGCCTAAACATTCCCCGTAAAAAATCCTAAAATGTAATTTCACTTTCCTCAAAAAGTCATATACTTAAAAGAACTACACTTGAGAGAGAAAATTCTCCCGCCTAAGCATTCTCTGCCTAAAATCCTGAAATGTAATTTCACTTTCCACAAAAAATATTATTATCATCATCATCATCATCCTATACCTAAAAGCACTGCACGGGAGAGAGACAATTTTCCCGCCTAAGAATTCTCCGCATAAAATCCTAAAATGTAATTTCACTTTCCACAAAAAAATATTATCATCATCTTCATCATCATCATCATATATCTAAAAACACTACAATGGGGAGAGAAAATTTTCAAGCCTAAACATTCTTCGTATAAAATCCTAAAATGTAATTTCATTTTCCTCAAAAAATCATATACTTATAATAACTACACTGGAGAGAGAAAATTCTCCCGTCTAAGCACTCTGCCTAAAATCCTGAAATGTAATTTCACTTTCCACAAAAAATATTATTATTATTATCATCATCATCTTCTTAAACCTAAAAGCACTACACAAGGGAGAGAAAATTTTCCCGCCTATACATTCTCCGCCTAAGATCCTAAAATGTAATTTCACTTTCCCCCAAAACAAAAAATCATCCTCCTATACCTAAAAGCACTACACTGGAGAGAGAAAAAATCATCATCCTATACCTAATCCTATACCTAAAAGGACTAAAATGTAGAAAGAAAATTCTTTCGCCTAAGTATTCTCCGCCTAAAATCCTAAAATGTAATTTCACTTTCCGCAAAAAAAATCATATACCTAAAAGCACTTCACTGAAGAGAGAAAATTGTCGCGCCTAAGCCTAAAATCCTAAAATGTAATTTCATCCTATACCTAAAAGGACTAAACTTGAGAGAGAAAATTTTCCCGCCTAAGCATTGTCCTCAAATCCTAAAATGTAATTTCACTTTCTGCAAAAAATATCATTATCCTATACCAAAAAGCACTACATTGGAGAGAGAAAATTCTACCAGCTAAGCATTCTCCACCTAAAATCCTAAAATGTAATTACACTCTCCACACAAAAAAAAATCATCATCCTATAATCCTAAAATCATAAAATGTAATTCAATTCTATACTTAAAAGCACTACACTGGAGAGAGAAAATTACCCCGCCTAACCATTCTCTAACTAAAATCTTGAAATGTAATTTCACTTTCCACAAAAAAATATCATCATCATCCTATCCTATACCTAAAAGCACTACACTGGAGAGAGAAAATTTTCCCGCCTAAGGATTCTCTGTCTATCCTATCCTATACCTAAAAGCACTACACTGGAGAGAGAAATTTTTCCCGCCTAAGGATTCTCTGCCTATCCTATCCTATACCTAAAAGCACTACACTGGAGAGAGAAAATTATCTCGCTTAAGCATTCTCCGCCTAAAATCCTAAAATGTAATTTCACTTTCCACAACAAAAAATGTAATTTTTTTATTTTATTGCACTGTTATTACTTATCAGCCAGCTTGGTATTTTAATGCACCAAGCATTAGATCAGGAGGTAGCTTTGGTAATTCTTTCATCTGAATCTAGTGTTGCAATGCACTAGTTATGCATGTTATTTTTGTTACATTTTTTATTAATTAATTATAGGAATTATTCTTTTAGGAATAATTGTCATTAATTAAAAAGAATGAACTTACAAATAATCCCAGGATTTTGAGCAAAATAGCGGAAAAACTACTCTAAACTCGTGCTTAGGCCTCTCCGTAATGTTCGTCACCCTTCAATGGGAGTGGAGAGGCCTTATTTAAAGAAAACCAGTCAAAATTCGATCAGGACAAGGACTTCGGCGTCAGACACGGCGCCAGGCACGACCGTGCCTCCGGAGTAATTCTACTTTTCGCGTCCAGGCACGGCGTGCCTGCCTTGCCAAGCACGACCGTGCCTGACTTCTAGGGAATTGGTTCTTCGGTACGCTACAGGCACGACATGCCTCCCTTGCCAAGCACGACCGTGCCTGACCTCTAGCGAACATCCGCTTCAATACACTACAAGCACACGTGTCTATTTCCCCAGGCACGACCGTGCATGATCTTTTTCGTCGCCTGATACACTTCTAGGCACGCACGGCGTGCCTGGCTGCTGGGCACGGCCGTGCATGGCCTTTTCTTCTTCTTTTTTCTTCATTTCTTCTTCCAAATGCTCCCGAGTCGATCCCGAAGGTCTTCTCTTCATTAATTCTTCACCGTGAACCTTCCGGAGACCTCCAAAACTCTCGAAACTCTCTTGAATGCTCATCAATTCTTCTTGATTTCTTCTCAAGCGTCGGTGCCGGATCTAATTACCTGATTTTTGACTCCAAACAACAAAACTCGAACCAACGCCTGGTACACATAACTTGAGCTAAAATTGAGATTTGTGAATTGTGACACCTTAAAGCTAGGTAAATCATCAAAAACTGATCCCAACACGCATCAAATGCGTGTTGTAATACGAACTTATCAATACTCCATATTTTATAGAGCTTATAGAGCGAGAGATGGAAGAGGATTACCTTACTCTATAGAGTGAGCAATGGCCGAAAAAGAAACAAGATCCCGAAGATGAAGGACGGATAAGGTGAAAGATGATGTTCTGCCCCTTACCTTCGCTCTCTATCCCGCAGTGGAGGAACTCTATTGCAACCCAGAGATGTGCCGAAGCTGCTGAACCAGAGATGGGGTAGGCCGACCAGAGACTAGGTTATCGCTACAATCTTCCATGGCTCCATGCCTCCATGCGCTCGTCCGTCGTTGCTTGTGATATCTGTATTTTGTAGTTCAGACGGGAAAGACGGGAAAGGCCGAAATCTAAATTGGTAGATGCGTAGAGCCGGCTAAAGGCTAATGGGCTAACTGCCTAACGGGCTAACTTACCAGACTTTCCGCTGCCCAAATACTTAGAAAAATAAAAACTACATATATAACGGGCCGGGCACCCGACATTTTTATATTTTGGAACCGGCCCGGAAAAAATTGATACCTGACCCTACCCGGACCGTTTTATAGTATAAAAAATCGGAACCGGCCCGTTTTGGACCCAAACCGCTATTACGTGGACCGGACCGCAGTTCCAATACCCGTTTGCCCACCCCTAGTTGCACTTATATTTTTTCATTTTAATTACTTTTTTGGTCACTTTTTTTTATCTATACTTAAAAGATAATCAATTTTTAGAGTTGAGCTTAAATATAGTAAAATTCAAGAAAGAATATGAGGAGGAACTTATAAAACTTATTACATAATCTAGTCAACCAAATAAAAAATTATTGAATTCCATAAAAAAGTTGTCTCGTAAAGTTCAGAAGTAAAAATAGGAGTTATCACATAGACTTGGTAAACATGACACATTTAGTCTGTAATATGACACATTTTATTTTAGGTTCTTGCAATTTTTTCATCCATGTAATATGCATAATTTTATTTTCTAATCTATATCTGATTCTGAAATTCAGGTCACTCTCTTTAGAAAAAGTTGCTATCGGTTGCATTATATTATTAGAAACTTTTAAACATATCATTTTATATTTTTTAAAAATATGTATTAATTTAAGAACCTTCTAAATAAAAATAATTATTTTTTGAATAATGTAGCATGACAAAAAATTAGTGACAACATATTAATCGGGAATGTTTTATTGTCAAACCGAGATTGTTATCACCGGTGATAGACTAAAAAGAAAAATAACATAAATTATAAGGATGAAAACAAAATATATAATTTGTAAGGACGTAAAACACAGAGTATTTAAATCTAAAGCATACTATGAGTATATATATGTCAATAAAGAAATCAATGCGCGCATGATAAGTAATCCACAACAAACCATTTAATAAGCATAAATACAATGCGATGGAGCTAGATCGAGGCAGTTATTTGGGGTGTTACTATTTTAGATTAGGTATTACAAATACTTCATGTCAATTTCATGAACTCAAAGTATATTACGTATTTTTGAAATTATGCACATTAAATTTTATATTTTTATGCACTTTTGTATTATAAATACGGAGTAGATGTTATTTATATTTTGATAAGCTTTTGTCACAATGTTTTCATTTGAATTCTTCATAATTACTAAAATGTGATCATATTTTGGCACATAAATTTTGATAACTTCTTCCCAATTCTTCATTTCTTCATATAGATGGCCATAATGAGTTTTTAATTTTCGACGGAAATCATTTTTTATTTGAACAAAATTGTACGCATACATATACACTTCGTACTCCGTATATATTTTGTAATTTTGCATCATGATTTAGTGATTTACTCACACTTTTCTACTCCACCGGTTCTCAAACAACTTCACACTTTCCTTTTCGGGAAGTCTCGAAATTAACTTAACACTTCTTCTTATTTCCTTATTTGACAAATTATCTACACTAAAACAGTGCAAAATAGTGTCAAACAGTGTCAAACAGTGCCAAACAGTGTCCAAACAGGGCACTCCACAGTAAAGTCAAATTTATTTTCTTAATCTGTATGAAGTCAAACTATGAAGCTCTTTGAGAACCGGAAGACGTATAATACTATCTCCATTCTTAAATAAGTGTAGTATATTGATTGACTTATTTGTCTTTTTTAATACGAAGAATGATTTAAACTATTCACATGTTCTATTTTGACTGCACTTTTATTTATTAATGTATTAATAAATTACGATTCAACGTTGCTAGGTCTGAGGATATTATTTCGTTCAGGCAGCTTTGCTTCAGGAAAGGGGTCAGGTTCAGACATATTTTCAGGGAAGGTAATAGACCAGCCCATTATCTAGCAGCTTTGCATCCGGCCCATTTCATGTCTTGTACTTCTGTTAACTTGTTGCCTAGCCCAGTCCGAATTGAATTTAATTTTGACTTGTTCAATATTCCTTATATTAGATGGCTTGTTTAGAATTTATTTCTTCTGATGGGTCAGGTCTAGCCCCCATCAGTTTTTGAGTTTATTTTGTCTCTCGTGTAATTTTGGGAAGGATGTCTTCCCCGAAAAGGTATTGGCCTAGTCCCCCTTTCTTTTTTGTATCTCTCTATTTCTAATAAAACACGGTAAATGTTCCCCGACATTTACTCCACTGATTTTGGTGGTTTGCCTTCCAGGTTTAAAAAAAATGTATTAATAAATTACATTTTTATAAAACATTATTAAGCTTATTTCATTTTAAATTTTTAATTTTTTTTCCAATTTTTGTAATGCAAAATTATACTCCCTATATATTAATGATCTTATCTAAGTTTTATATCAACAAAATGAAAAGTGGATTATCCCATTTATTCTATATTTATAATTCAGCACTTGTGTCATAGCCTTATTCCCAAGTTTGCCATCGCATTTTTTCTTACTCGGGAGCCAATCTTCATTTTCCTTTATTCTTCCGGTAGGCTTTTTGTTCATAAACAAAGAAAATAACAACAAAATACAAATTTAATACACAAACCGAACCATCTCTGTCTTCAAAATTGCTCTTTCGTGATCGAAAATTTCATAGACAGGTTAGTTGCAACAAATTTATTGACTCTCTACTACTGTAATTTCGACTTGTTCACGTTCAATTTCTGGAGATATATTATTTGATTTTCAATACATTTTGACTTGTGTTTGAAATTCATTTTCTGTTGTAGTTGATCTTCTATTTGATTTTTTGATCTCTGAAATTGAGCAGGTGTTTTGTGTTCGTGGCCTGACGGTGTCATTAGTTGCTATTGTTTTAAATTGATGTGTAACATGGGTTTCGGCTTGTTTAATTTTTGTTGTCACAAAAGCTGTGAGTATTTGATCTTTTATTTAAGAAAACAAAAAAAGTTTAAGATTTTGGGTCTTATATATACATATATGTATGTATGTATGTATATGTTTGTGTTTTCTTTATCTTTGCTGAAATGTAAGCTTTTCAAATACATGCATACACATCACCATACATATAATTAGTATTCAAATCTATTTGTTTTAGACGGTGTATACATCTAGCAGATTTTGATGTTCAGATCAGAATTATTTTGTATTTTTTGCCCTCTTTTCTCATATTGATCATTCAGTAGATAATTACTCAATTGGTTCAAAATAGATCTGGCAAAGATACAGACCTGTGTTGGTAATATATAAAGTGCAAGTCTATTTGTTAACCTTTTCATTTTCTGGTCAACAATATATGGATTATGACGTGTGCATTGGTTTGATTGAAAATATCATGGTTTCTTCTAGTTAATTCGATAATTTGAATCAAGAACTGCGTTATGGACGTATTGTTAAGAGTTAACACATAACATGATATGAGGAGTAGTCCAAAGTCTGTGTAAGATGTGGACCATTTTCTTCACACTCCCTTCACGGCCAGACAATTTGTCTCATACCCTGAAATTAGGTCTAACTTCTTCCAAAGGGATCCACAATATGTGAGATCCAAAATCGGACCAGGCTCTATAACATGTTAGGTTCCCATTCTAAAAGTTTAACCTAAATGTGAGTTTGCTATTTTATATTTAGTCAACGTGGTGAATTTCCTTCAAGAGTTATGTTGTCTTTTATCTTAATCTAGTACTGCTCTCAAGAGTTTAGGATTGAACACTCATGCACTCTTCTATTAATTATTAATTATTACTACGTATTTATTTCTCTTCAATGACAGGTCTTGTTTCTGCATTTAGAACCAATATTGTGTGATGATGCGATACAAGAAGGGAAATTTGGTCGAAGTCTTAGATGAAAGCGAGCCACCCTCAGGATCTTGGCGTTGTGCAGAGATTGTTAGTGGCCACGGAGATGACTATATCGTCAGATACAGTACATGTGATACATCTGGAGCGCTCTTTAGGTTGGCATCTAAACCGTTAATTAGGCCTTGCCCGCCACTTGTAGAATTCTCAGAGAACTGGGTTCCTGGGGATGTGGTTGAGGTGTTTCTCAAATACACATGGAGAATGGCTAGAGTGACTAAGGTGGTAGGGAAGAAGCAAGTTTTGGTCCGTTTGGTCGGATCTCCAAATGAATTCAAGGTCAAGAAATGTAACATCCGTGTGAGGCAGTTGTGGGAGGACGGTCAGTGGGCCAAAGTTGGAAAGGTAGTATGATCATTTTAGACCTTCTGCACATTACATCATCATATTCCTAAACTTCATATCTTCACCAATATCTCGTTGTGTGTACGTGCATTTCACGCCCAATTGTTTAACATTTGTGATTACACCTTTTCTTTATCTGCAGATTTGCTTTTGTACACCTTTACGTTATAATTTTTCTTACTTAATACTCCCTCCGGTCCTTATTAAACTTTACACTTTGACTTCACACATATTAAGGAAATAAATTTGACTTTACTGTAGAGTACACTGTTTGACACTATTTGACACTGTTTAACACTGTTTTGCATTGTTTGGTGTAGATTTGTTTGCCAAATAAGGCAAATAAGGAAGTGTAAAGTTTAATATGGGACGACCTAAAAAGGAAAGTGTAAAGTTAATTAAGGACCGGAGGGAGTATTGTGTTTTACGTAGTACTAGTTTAGCTAAAGGGCATGCATTAGCTTTTCTGAATATGAAAGATGATTTTTATCCATATTTAAGACATGATTAACACTACCGAAGATCAGAATAAATCATACAGAGTAGTTTTTATTTATTTATTTATTTATTTATTTATAATTATTTTCATTTAATTGTTTATCAAAGTTATGTATAGTTTTCCAAAGCGTTATCACTTAAAATTAACTTAAAGTAGTTAAAAAAGATTCCAAGTTTAGTCTTAGTAGTTTAGTAGTTTCAATCATTCTGGTCCCAAATTGAAAGTTTTCATCTTTCACATCCTAATGTTTAGGTAAGCTATATTTTTATGGTCCTGATTCGATAAAACTCCCATCATTACTATTGTTACAATAAATATCATTAATATGATTATTATTATTACTATTATTAGTATTAGTATTACGTTTGCCACCAGCTCACTCCATTTTCTTGTCATTTTCATTTTCTGGCATGCAGGGTCCAACTCAGAAGTACACTAGGATCTCACAATTCCGATCTACAGGAGCAATATTAAGAATTAATAAAGTCAATTTGAAATTCCAAAAACCAGATACGGGAATTTCAAGAACATCAAATAGGGGTCTACCACCATATTCGCATTCTTGGATAGAAGCCAATGTTGGAAAGGAAGGTAAAAGCTCAAGTGAAACACATTTTACTGAATCGGATGGTGGCAGTAGTATATGCAGCTCTGTTGGTAGTTGTAGCAGTACTTCTAGCTACCAGTTGTCAATGGATCCTGCATGTGATGAATTACAAAGCGTTGGTGAATCCGTCCCAGAGTTAGATCAAGAAATCCATAGGTTAGAGCTGTGTGCATATCGAGCGACTATGGAGGCATTGTTTGCTTCAGGCCCCTTGAGTTGGGAAAAGGAAACTTTGATTACAAACCTTCGCGTTTATCTCAACATATCAAACGATGAGCATTTGTTGGAGTTAAGGAATTTAATATCTCATAATGCTTCATCAAGCTTTTCCATTATTAGCTGACTGCATTTAACAGCTTTCTTCTTTTTCATCCCTCTGTAAGCTTTTTTCTTGTAAAAAAGAAAAATGAAGATTGTTATTGAAATTGAGCTTGTTTCATCTATATTGAGTTAGCTATGTATCAACTTTTCATGCATTGTAAAATTGTTATTACTATTTGTACTTGTTACGAAGAGTCTCATATAGGGAAATACTTATATAAGGTCTTTTTTGGGGATGCCGGATGCAAATAGGAAGGTTTAGTAATTCACGGTTAGATTGCTTTTAACGGCAAATAGGCTTTAAAGCTTTAATCAGCATGCATTCGAGCTATTATTTGTAATCCAACGGTGGATTACTAAGCCTTCCTAAACACAGTCGTCAAGCCAATGAGCCATATGTGTGTGCATTCAGTGTTTCCTAAAGTATTTGCTCTACTTTCACGGACAGGTTTGGGACCTGTTTGGTAAGGGGTATTTGGTTGAAATGGCTAAAATTTTCGAAAGGAAAAGCATTTGGTGGCATCCATATCCGTCAAATGAGTAAGTCATAAACTTCTAATTCTGTTATGTGTGTAAGCAGAATAAGCATGATATGCCATTATTAAATGGAGCCTTATAATCTAGTGTGGCAGCATATTGTTACATAATAATATTGGTGCTTCCTATATATTTTCCAGACCCAGGGTTCATGGCCTGGTGGTGCTTGAGATTTTCCCTATATCTCTTGAATTCTTGATGTAGATGATTTGGGGATGTAAGCAGCATCAGGTTAATGTATGAAGTAAACACTTCGCTTGAACCTTGCTCGAGTTGGATTCATCTCAGTTCTATGGTATGTCATGTCTTGTAAATTCTTTAAGGAATGAACCCCAGCAGCATTTGAATCTATTTCCTCCCAAAGAGCAAAGGAGGTTATCTCTTCCCCCACCCCAGCCCACACCATTGTGCAGTAATTTACACATCTTTAGCAAATTATATCATAGTTTTAGGCATCTCAATTGAATGTGTATAACAAGTTTTGCTAAAAACTATCACCAGCTGTCTCACTATGGCATAATGGCATGATACATGTTTGTTCACTCATGTTTTTTGCTAATGTTTTTCTAGCATTTCTGATTACATTTCCAGGTTTATTGATGATGGTTGCTGTTAACAGTATCAGTGCTGCTTCCTGCTAAATATGGTGGCTAATGTGCTATCCAATCTGCCTTACCTTACATTATTTTACAGCTTGTCAAAAGTTGAATCCAGACTTAGGAGGGTGAAACCGCTTTAGCCATGGGTTAGCTGAATTGACTGTAAAATAGTGATGAGGTTTATGTCAGAGTGCAAGTACAAATTATAAGCTCATCCGGTAATGCTAAAGTTGGCTGGCTTGTTGAACTTGTGGTGGAAATGGCTGAATTTGCTTAATTACGAAATAATTGTATTAAAAATATTTTTATTAATAAAACAGAAAAGACATATGAAAGCAAATTAGAATTTGGGTGGGGGGGGGGGGGGGGGGGGGGGGTCTTTATCGGGTAATTTCTTAACAAGAGGCTGCACTAAAAAATTGAGCCCGTGTGTAACCTCTTGTCAAAGCTTAGGTTCTGTTTGGTAGTGGCTGCATCAGCTGAAATTTCTGATTTGGCTGAAATGGCTGAAAGTTTTGAAGTGAAAGTGTTTGATATTATTTTAGCTGAAGAGGCTGTTTGAATGTGTAATTACCATAAAGGTATTAATAGCTCTTCTTCTCAAGGCAAAGGGATATTTGATAATAAAGTAACCTATTCGCTCAAGAGCAAAAAAAGAGCTAAAGGTATAGGCTTCAATCAAATAAGTATTTCTACATCATTAACGAATTTATATAACTTGCCTTAGGTATTGAAAACTCACTTCTTAGCTAGCACTTGTGCCAGGAAATAAATGAATCTATTACACCATTAAATAATGTGTCTAAGTGTTTCAATTACCAATAAAATAAAATAAAAATGTTGACGGGGAGGATACTATAATACGAAGTACATAATATTTGTTGAAAGGCAATGGCTTCAATTAATATGATTTAGCCGTATATTACGTATTGATTTAGTCGTGGGTTACAGCCTTCCAGGGGTGAGTTTTTTAGTTAAAGAACATGGATAAAAATGTCTTTTAATAGCTTAATAGTAGAAAAATAGATTTCATCTGAAAAAGTAGCTATATGCTTACGTTTTGAGCTGATAAAAAAAAACAGCTAGATCAGCCCATTGAATGAGTGTTTGGTTATTTTTATAGACTTTCAGGCATATAAGCCAATTTCTAATCCTCCAAACGGGCACTTAATCGGTGTGCCAGATCTTTCCTTCCTAAATGAAAGATAAATGAACGTCACAAAAGTATTATCAATCTTACTTGTTTCTTGTTTCGATCATCACAGAATTAAGTGCGTGAAATAAAATATTACCTTTGTTCCATCGGATATTGCCAAACTAGTGTTAGATGCAAAGTAAAATTAATAATAATTATTGTTATAATTATTGATTTTGCCTTCCTAACATGTTTTATTGATTCATCTAAAAGAGATTAGTGGTCGTTAGAGTTAAATGTTGTTGAGGTTCGAATATAATAATGTAAATTGATATAAACCACATAGTTATTGCCAAATGGATATCAAGACAATCATTTGAGATAATGAAAAAAGGAGGGAAGGCATGGGCGGCTAAACTAATAATGTTTTGAGTGGAATTTTTTGAGATACTTCTTGGTGGATTTCAGTTTCAAATTCAATCGGGAAGTCAATTAATTCAATTATAGCAAAATATTGCGTTTTTATGCATATTTTGATACTGTACTTTTCAATAATTTATTTAATTGACTTTTTGATTGAATTTTATGCTGAAATTTTGTGGATATAATATAAACTTGATGAAAAACATGCTTACAAAGTTTCATAAAAAAATTGTACTTGGAAGAAAATTAGTCTGATGTAATTATTTGATTAGTTTATTCATTGGTTTCATTCTTAGTTCATTGTTTGATTTTTTAATTATTGATTATTATCTATTGAGTGTTGATGTTAATTTGTTGATTTTGTTAGAGAAAATATTTCTATTATAATTAAGTTTATAAATTTAATTAATTTAAAGGTATAATAAAAATGATTGATCTCAATATGATAATGTAAAAAGAGGAGACAATCAGAGAAAATGATACTAAGTAAAAAAGGTTCAATGGAAAAGTATGTTTGTGTAAAGAAGTCAAATTCTCAATGTCCTTTTAAAGATAAGAACTTAGAGAAGAGAATGATTTAGCTACTGAAAATGAAATGATTCAGAATGATCATATCGTTGGATGGGAATTTAGGAGTTAGATAATAGGGATAATTTGAGTTGTACCCCGTTTTATTATCCAAATTGGACTTAGCGCTCTGTTTTTAAAAATCTTTGTTTTTGCACCCCAACCTCATATGAAAAGACAAAAATATCCCTCCATTAACAATTCTGTTGCCCTTCAACATATTCCTGTTGGAAGGGCATTTTTGTCTTTTCATACGGGGTTGGGGTGCAAAAAAAATATTTTTAAAAAACAGGGTGCAAAATTCAATTCGAACAATAAAATGTGGTGCAAACTCAAATTAGCCCCAAATAATAATAGAGTTAATTCCTTAAATAAGACTAAAATATTTGTAAAGTGGACAATAGAATCACCATATCTCCTTCTTAAATAAGGATCACCAATACTATAATATTATTGGTTTAGACAGAGAGGGTTTTACAACCTCTTTAAAAGTCCTGAAATATTATTATTATTATTGTTATGCATGTTAGTTTAGATAGAAAAGAGATTTACAATTTGTTTTAAAAAAATTAGGCCTATATTAATTTTCCACCCTTAGGCCCTCAACATACAGGACCGACCCTGGAAGAAGTTGTAATTTATTTTAGACTGCATGTATTTTTTATATTTTTTTTAATTCCTATATTATAGGGGGAATTTGACTTTGCACCCAATTTTTTGGGTGATATTGGACTTTGCACCTCATTTTGAAAAAAAAACTTTGATTTTGCACCCCAACGCATAACATTTTGTGAAGAAAAAAATTCTAAATGGGGTGCCAAATCAAAGGATTTTAAGTGAAATGAGATGCAAAGTCATTTTTTTTAAAATGTGGTGCAAAGTCCAATATTATCCCAAAAATGGGGTTCAAAATCCAATAGTACCCCTGTAATATACTACTTATATTATACGTAGTACTTTTTAGTCCTTCTCTAACTTTGAAATAATCTTAATTTTTAAAAAGCTTAGTGCTGGTTGCATAACTCTACTACAAAATCTTGAAGAGTGAATTCCCTAAACCGGACTAAAAGATAAGATATATTTCTAAACAGGACTTCCATTTGAAATTAAGTTTCATAGGTTTTAAAATCACCTAGTCAAGGATGGAGGAGGGGGCATTAATAAAAAAATATGTATTTGTTGAAAAAGATAAATGATAGGAGTGATATGAAAATAAAGGTTACGAGAGGAAGTGATAATTCTTGCATATATCAACAGTACATATATGTAAAGCAAAGCAGATATTTATTTTGCTACTTCTTTAGCTGAAAAGGTTAACAGCCCAAACAGCCAAATAATTAGTTATGTTCAGTTCTTTTTTTTGCTTAATTTCAGGCTTTTCAGCCTATTTGAATGCACCAATCGCCCTCAATATTTTATGGAACCAAAACTTTATTTATGTTGTGGAATAGAGAAGATTTAAAGTAGATATATGAGATATATATATATAGATCATGAACTCTGAATATTCTTCTTCTTTATCTGATTTTTTTAGAGAATTTACAAATAATTGATCGTCCATTTATAAAACAGGGTAGTTAAGAGTAGATACTATAATAGAAGTTTGAGCACATAAAAAAGTCTATTTATAGTACTTCAATTTGGGGAATTATCTTCTCAAAACGATTCTACATATTTTGTTAACACATTAAACATTTAAACCTTCCCGCATTACAAATATTCAAATCACATAGGTGTTCTGATTCTACAACAATTTAAACATTTTTGGAATAATGAGATATAAATATGTTGAAAATTCTAATTGTACATGAAATTTGTACAAAATTAACATACATTTTTGCGTAATTATATGTACACACAGACAAAAAAATACATCTTCTAGTTGCCTGTGTGCATAGACATTTCATGCAATAATTGTCTGTATACACAAATAATTACGTATAAATGTGTATGATATGTGTATAAACAGAGCTGATTTTTAGCACGTTGAACAAGTTCTACATAACAGGGCCTCCCGATTTCTGGGGCCCCAATTTTCTAAAAAAATATTAGTATCACATATTAATAATAAATAAATACTAATCAATAAAATAAAGTTTTTTGTCAGTACTTTTACTCATGTTTGACTCGAATGGATTGAGTGATGAGTTGTGTTGCTTTAAATCAAGTATTAAGTGATTTTTAGAATTTTTATTACATTATTTGATGAATATTCAATTGATTTCAGTATAAGTATTTAGATTGAGTTTTTTTAATTCTTTATATTAATATGGGACCTCGATTTTATGTTTGGAATGAGGCCTCCAAATCCAGTAGACGGCTCTGTGTATAAATTATATATATATATATATATATATATATATATATATATATATATATATATATATATATATATATATATATATATATATATATATATCTGTGTGTGTGTGTGTGTGTATCAAGTACTAAAGGTCATGTAATGATATGTGTATGACAAGTGCATAAATTCTATAGACATCTAGCGGTCATCTTATTAGATACAGAGGGAGTACTATATATAATAATAATAATAATAATAATAACAATAATAATTACTAATAATGACAAAATTAAAGTAAAGTATTAATTTCTCATCCCGCAATAGCAATTAGTTATATTTATTTTGATTTTAAAATATCACATTAATACATCATTATTCATAAATCAAAACGAAATTACTCATGCATTTTCTAATGAATTAATTTTTTTTATTTCAAGTAATAATAAACGAGTAAAATAGTTTGTGAGAGTTTGATGTGGATTTTAAGAAAATAAAGGATAGAGTGATTGTTTTACAATTCTAAAGTACGTAATGAACCATTTTTAAATATAAAAAAAAAAGAAAAAGTCAAATAAACCCTTCTATTATTTCCAATACATCACTTTAGTCTATATACTAAAAAAAGTATTCCCTCCGTCCCGAAATAATTGTCTAACTTTGACCTTCACATAGATTAAGAAAATGAAGTTGACATCACATTGTAGCGACACTGTTTGACACTGTAGCAATACTATTTGGCACTGTAGCGACACTGTTTGACACTGTTTTGCACTGTTTGACACTGTTTTGTATAGATTTGTTTACTAAATAAGGAAAGTTTGAAAGTAGGACAATTATTTTAGGACATCCATTTTGGGAAAGCAAGACATTTATTTCGGGACGGAGGGTCATATAAGCATGTTTACTATA